GGTCGGCATCGAACCCACAAACTTTCTGTATCCCAGGCGAAGCGGTTAACATCTCGCCACCACGGCGCCCCACAACACAACATCGAAGCAGTGTCTGTTTTTTAAAGAAGGCGGAGAGAATGGAGAGATCCAATGGGGCCGTCTGCATGGAACTCACGCGATTTACAGGCAGCTTGAGCTCATTCAGATTGCTACACTTATCCCGGTTGTCGGTCAATATTATACGACCAATATTTTGAGATGTACCAAGCGAGGTAGTAAATATCTCGCCACCGTAACACGCCCGCGTACACGCGTCCTGAAATTTGCGGCCGAGGCGACGGCGGGCGCCGCGAGGACCTCGTGGAGTTTTTCCCGGACGCCTCGCGGCTCCGTCAACGTCGATCCTTCCCCACGATATCGCCGCCGTCGGGATTGTTAGCCGGCCCCGGCGGGATTTTGAAGCGGAGATTGGGAGGATTTCCTCGCATTATTTCACCCCAACCGCCCCCACCATCACACCCCCCCCCCCCCACCCTAAAGAGAAATGGAGTTTGTTATCCGTGAAGGCTAGCTGTTCGTTCAGGACGATGTATTGGGGTTTTTTTCTCCGGGTAAATCCTCCAGAATACAGACGTGAGAATGATTTATTGAGGCGGCGGAGTGTCGCCCCAGAGCACGCCACCGTCCAGATTTGCGATATTTTTTTAAATGTCCTCGTAAATTACTCAATTTGGTTAAAAAGAACACACCAACATGGGCCCCTTCTGGCAGACTATATCAGTGCGTGCGAAATGTAGCGCCTTCGTGATAGCTCCGTGCCATAAGAACGGCGTTATTATTACCGAACGGAACTGAATCATTAGCGAGCAGGGGGGGGGGGGGGGGGGGGGGGGGCGGATAGGCAGTGCTGCGGGAGGATGTACCCAGGCGCCCCTTCCTTTATGCAGTCGAATGACCTACGGACCTCTCGTGAGTAAATCCTCTCTTTGTATAGGCGAATAGGTCGAAACGAGTGTGACTGTGCGAATGGAATGGTGACCCCCTCACGATGTGGCTGGGAGGTCCCGCGGGGGTTGTAGTTCACGTGTTGTAGCACTGAGCTGCCAACTAATGGATACCCAGGAATGTCAGTCTTAGGATTCAGGAGGGTCCCGCTAAGTTTTCAGATTAGGTGGGGGGAGGGCAGGGGGCACTTATAGCTATGTAATGTATATTCTGATGGACTATTTTGCGAGGAATAAGTTTTGAAAATTTAGACCATGATCTTAGCACAAAACGCCATGCTCTTTTCACTGCATGTACCCTAGTTCTGCACCAAGGCCTAATATGTCTGAGGGCACCCCGGTGGCAAGATGTTAACTACCTCACCTGGTATACAGGAGATTGTCGTTTCGAGCCCGACCCTTACGCCTGTATATTTGGAGTTTGCATGTCTCTTCCCCATGGTAGCGTGGATTTTTTTCCGGGTCCTCCGGTTTTTCCCTTCACATTTGGAATCAACATCACGCGTTTAGAGTATTTGAGCTGCTATGAATTTCCACGTGTTAAGCCACTTCGTTGAGCTATAATTTGTGATAGCCAGGTCACTTCTGAAAAAGAACCATATAGCTAGTGGGCCTTACATAGTAAAATTTAAATAGTTTAGTTGAATCTTGATTTTAAGCTTTCGTGACTGCAGGAATCCATACTCTTTGGTTCTTTCGGTAAAGTCACGTAGGTAGAAAAAATCATAGATAACGACGTTTCGATCGCAAAATCAAGCGACCGTCTTTCTCTCACCTGAAGACGGTCGCTTGTTCTTGCGATCGAAACGTCGTGATCTATTAGTGTTTCTACCTACTTGACATTACCGAAAGAACCAAAGAGTATAGTTTAGTTGAAGTGGAGGAACTAAACGCCAACATGAGGAACTGGTTGTTATTGCGGTTGCATTAACCGTAAAAATACGCAGAGTGAAGCAGTTCCAAATTGCGGTTACAATTTTTGTATTCTTTACAGGTTGCGAATGAATGGAAATGACCAATTCAGGCGCGGTGCCCATTCATTCACTGGCGGTTGGTGATGTCACGGCGGACATTTGAAAGCGCAGCGTCAGCTGAAGCGTATGAATACGTATACGACGCAAAGGTGCAGCCCTACAACTGCTTGCTCGCGCCTCCGCTGGCAGAAAAAAGGGCCTCCGCTGGAGTAAACTCTAGAGGCTTCATTGGCCTGCTCTTCCACGTTGACCGGAATGTTTTTGATGCGGTGGGCCGTGGCCCACACTTTACCCCACTGCGTGTGACCCACTGATCGAATTACCACGGTGCGCCTCTTTTGCGCCACTGGTGTTGACAGAGGCGGCCGGGGAGGGATTTGAGAAACTCGTCCCCGCCGCTCGAAGGTGCGTGCCGGGAGATGGAGTCGAATCGGGGACCCTCTGCACTGGCGAGCCGAGTTTTGCCACCCCCAATACACCGCGGCAGCTCCCGTTGTGTGTCTGTCCGTGCGTCCCCCATGCGCGTTGTGTATCGGATGTCGCGAACCACTATTTACAGAGCATTGAGTGCCATCTGGTGTTTGAGTGTGACAGGAAGGCATGCGACAGGGCATCGTGTCGCCGATTAAAATCGATTTTCCATGCTCGCAAATACCGTGCGTCCAAATCGTGCATTCGAGAATATTTTTCGCAGTTTATGCAAATTGTGTGCAAATTTTGCGATCTGATGTTACATTTGAAACTCATGGCGGTACCCCGGGGTACCATAGGACCCCGGCGTACCATAGGACCCCGGCTCTCGCATAATGTCCGTGATGCAGTCACTTTTAGTCTGTTGATGGTCGGCGATGCGGCAATCGACTCATCTCGACGAGCTGTACTCACGACGCACCGCCACTACGGTACGTGCGAGCGTTCAGGGTTTCAGCGCAATCGTCCTCGCTGTGTTTCAACATCTCGGAGTAGCACTGATTTCGGATTGATTGGTAACCCCAGTCGCGGAGTGAAGTTACACCCCTGGAAAAAAATTGTGTCCCAGAAATAAAGTATTTTATTGCCTCGGCCATTTTGTATTATTTGGTACCCCGGGGTACCGCCATAAGGATTACTTAGATGAATGGTGAGAATTTGACAGTACGAATGATACCAAAGGGAAACTATAAACAGTAAAAGCAAAATGGCAAACATTAAACCAAAAATAATTAATTCTTGCATTAAATCACAACCCCAAATTATTACAATCTTCCAAAACTCTAAGGGGGGCAGGGGGGGGGGGGTGAACAGTCACGTGGTAAATGAAAGACATAGTGAAGTGGAGCCACCGCATGGGGATGCCTCCATCCAGCAGCAGATTGACAAAGGGGGGCGGTACATTATTCTATCGCGGTGGGTTAGAAAGGGAAAGCTGTTAGGACGCTCTTAACAACTGGAGGAAGTCCGCTGACAACGGCGAAGGCGCTCCAGACAGCGGGGGACTGTGGCAGCAGAGTCGGGAGTCTTACCTCCTTATCGTTGGAGCTGTGAGTGGGAGAGGCGGTGGGTGCCCGAGCGAGGTGGGAGTAGCGAGGGGTGAGATGAGGTCAGAGAGTTCGTTTGTTGTCATTCCTTTGTTTGTCATCCTTCCCCCCCCTCCCCCGCACCTCCGATTGGCTTGCCGCGGTTGGAAGTTCAACATAAATACATACATACAGAAAGGTTGGACGGGGAGTGGGGGGGGGGCCCACGAACAATGGGAATGTTGTAGGCCACGAACTTTACAAGTGACAGCTGCCTGCCCTACATGTTCGAGATGCCTCTCCCGTGCCTCTGACCCATGGCCTCAGCACCCGCTAGAACGTGAACAGCTAGCTTAGCGTCGCCTCCCGCCTCTCGCTGTGCTGCTCAAAAAAGAGACTCCGCGTTCTCTCGAAGTCCTCATCGTCTGCCGGCGTGCATTGGGGGCTCGCGTCTGCAAACACTCTTCCTTCCGATATTAGGGAGCCACTGGCGGCTATGTACTTTTAATAGCTAGTTTGAAAACTAATTTCTTTAGAACTGCTCCTTGTGTTTAGTTTGTTGTCCTTGTCCCCGCAAGTCCGATTAGCACGGCTGGCTACGTACGTTGCGGAAGAAGTCCAACGCACATTCTCATGCGATCGTCTAATTGCCTGCGGTAGCTTTTGACTTTGCGGTCTGTAATTTGACGTCCTCTTTTTCCGAGGTTTTGATGGCTTTTTTTCGCCCCCCCCCCCCCCCCCCCCCTTTGGCGTCATGTCACGAGATATCATCTGTGGGCCAGAGCAGAACAAAGGGCTGACCATGTATTTTTTTTTTACAGGTGTAAGCCTCAAAACAAGGGAACATTCTGTAACCATTATTTAACCAGACGAGAACCCAATACAGCAACTAAAATTTACATCGCAATGCTAAGCACGGCATCATAGACGCAGATATGCGAAGCGAGGTGAGACTGGCCAAGAGACAGGGAAATAAAACCCGAGAGTGAAATGATCACTGGCAACTCCGTCAACTGTACCGAGCGGTGACCTCAACGATGAGGAGTGCCATGGTGGCTAGGAGATGTTGACTATCTCGCCTGGTATACAGGAGATCGTGGGTTCGATCCCGATTCTGACACCTGTTGTATATTTGTATTTTGTATTTTTCTTTCCCCGTGGTCGCATGGATTTTCGTCCGGGTCCTCTGGTTTTTCTCTCCACGTTTAGAATAAACACGCGTTTAGAATATTGGCTGCTATAAATTTCCATGTGATAATCTACTTCGTTGAGCTATTATTTGTGGCCAGGTTGCTTTTGAAAAAGAGCTCGATAGCTCAGTGGGCCTGAACCTGGTAAATTATAAAAAAGTTTAGTTTAGTCCTCTTGCTGGGGCAAGTTGCTGTCCTGGATAAGTCTTCCCAGGACCTTAAATGTCCCATATTTTGTCATTTTCTTAATAACACACTATTAAAGACAACTCATTTGCATGTAGTTCCGCCTTACTTCTGGTTTTGTGAGATATTATTCTTGTCATGACATGTCCCGGTTTTTTTGTATAACAGGTGGCAACTCTTGCAAACGACCACTCGAACCACCTCGATCCTGCCGGCCGGTCGCCCCCAACACGCCAGCCGCTCCCTGGCGATTCCGGCGTCACCAGGACGAGCGCGTGCCCAGAGTTCCCAGGAATCAGCGCGGCCAAGCATCGGTGAGTCCCGGGTGAGCCCCAGCACCACAACGAAGGATATCTCACAATACTCCGTTCATCTTCGGAGTAAAATCCGGTCATCCTCGCAGCAGCAGCAGCAGCGGTTTTTGGCTAGCTAACGAACAAAGATGGTCACCGCATCGCGCACTTTCAAATGCGCTTCTGCGGCCGTCTGGAACGCTTTTCCTTCCGATATTAGGCAGCCACTGGAGTGATGCACTTTTAAATCTAGATTGAATAAACACATTTCTTTAGAACTGCTTTTTCTGTTTAGTTTGTTGTCCTTCCCCCACACCTCCGATTAGCATAATTCGCTATTTACAGTGCGAAAGAAGTTAAATATACATACATGTACAGTCAGGGAAAAAAGTATTTGATCCCCTGCTGATTTTGTACGTTTGCCCACTGACAAAGAAATGATCAGTCTATAATTTTTGTTGGCAATCACAGTGAGAGACAGAATAACAACAAAAAAAACAGAGAAACGCATGTTAAAAATGTTCTAAATTGATTTGCATTTTAATGAGGGACATAAGTATTTGACCCCTCTGCAAAACATGACTTAGTACTTGGTGGCAAAACCCTTGTTGGCAATCACAGAGGTCAGACGTTTCTTTTAGTTGGCCACCAGGTTTGCACACATCTCAGGAGGGATTTTGTCCCACTCCTCTTTGCAGATCTTCTCCAAGTCATTAAGGTTTCGAGGCTGACGTTGGCAACTCGAACCTTCAGCTCCCTCCACAGATTTCTATGGGATTAAGGTCTGGAGACTGGCTAGGCCACTCCAGGACCTTAATGTGCTTCTTCTTGAGCCACTCCTTTGTTGCCTTGGCCGTGTGTTTTGGGTCATTGTCATGCTGGAATACCCATCCACGACCCATTTCCAATGCCTGGCTGAGGGAAGGAGGTTCTCACCCAGTATTTGACGATACATGGCCCCGTCCATTGTCCCTTTGATGCGGTGAAGTTGTCCTGTCCCCTAAGCAGAGAAACACCCCCAAAGCGTAATGTTTCCACCTCCATGTTTGACGGTGGGGATGGTGTTCTTGGGGTCATAGGCAACATTCATCCTCCTCCAAACACGGCGAATTGAGTTTATGCAAAAGAGCTCCAATTTGGTCTAATCTATCCACAACATTTCACCCAGTTGTCCGCTGAATCATTCAGATGTTCATTGGCAAACTTCAGACGGGCATGTATATGTGCTTTCTTGAGCAGGGGGACATTGTGGGTGCTGCAGGATTTCAGTCCTTCACGACGTAGTGTGTTACCAATTGTTTTATTGGTGACTATGGTCCCAGCTGCCTTGAGATCAATGACAAGATCCTCCCGTCTAGTTCTGGGCTGATTCCTCACCGTTCTCATGATCATTGCAACTCCACGAGGTGAGATCTTGCATGGAGCCCCAGGCCGAGGGAGATTGGCAGTTATTTTGTGTTTCTTCCATTTGCGAATAATCGCACCAACTGTTGTCACCTTCTCACCAAGCTGCTTGGCAATGGTCTTGTAGCCCATTCCAGCCTTGTGTAGGTCTACAATCTTGTCCCTGACATCCTTGGAGAGCTCTTTGGTCTTGGCCATGGTGGAGAGTTTGGAATCTGATTGATTGATTGCTTCTGTGGACAGGTGTCTTTTATACAGGTAACAAGCTGAGATTAGGAGCACTCCCTTTAAGAGTGTGCTCTTAATCTCAGCTCGTTACCTGTATAAAAGACACCTGGGAGCCAGAAATCTTTCTGATTGAGAGGGGGTCAAATAATTATTTCCCTCATTAAAATGCAAATCAATTTATAACATTTTTCACATGCGTTTTTCTGGATTTTTGTTGTTGTTATTCTGTCTCTCACTGTTCAAATAAACCTACCATTAAAATTATAGACTGATCATTTCTTTGTCAGTGGGCAAACATACAAAATCAGCAGGGGATCAAATACTTTTTCCCTCACTGTAACTTAATTGTCTTGTCAACATATAGCTGACCATGACTGGAGATTTTTCAGGATTAATACCTCGAAAAGAGGAGGATCCTGACAAAACTCGGACAAGTGGTCTTGAGTGGTGGATTGGCTACACCTTGTTAGGAGACCCTCATCCAGCAGTGGATATCAAAAGGGGCAATACATTATTGCTGTAAAAATATGAATGCACAATCATGGTACCTGGATGCCAAGGAGCGGTAAAAGGTGCGACCCAGCAAATTGCCAGCTCACACCACCTCTGCTGGAAGGACCTCCACTCGAGGCCGCTTTGGAGAGCCAATGTAAATTGTATTTTGGCCCCCTCTTACACGCTGGCCAGACGTGTTCAAAGAGGTGGGAGTACTCTCACTTTACCCCAGCAGACGCAAACCTGCCGATCGACTTACCGTTAGTACACGCATTTCAATTGCTGGGTGGACAGGCGGGGGGGGGGGGGCGGTGGGGGGGGGGCGGTGGGAGGGGGGGTGGGCTATGAAACTCGCCCCATCGTTTCAGCCGCCGCGCCAGGAGATGGAGTTTAGCCGGCGACCTCAGGGGATTGCGAGTCCGGGCGTGCGAATATGTCACACCGCCGCAGCAGCATCCCAGTAGTTAGTAGCCTTTGAAAAAAAAATTGAAACAATAATTACCGTTTGTTTATTTATTACATTGTCTCTGCTCGCGAGAGCTGATGGTGCAGTTGTGCGCGCGTGCGTGTGTGCGCGTGCGTGTGTGCGTGTGTGTGTGTGCGTGTGTACGCGCGGATTAACCCTCGACAGCACTTCCCATTGTGCCGTTCGCGTTGGACGCAATGAAAAGCGACAACGCCGTCAGCCTCGCGTTTCACTCGCCGCATTCACACAGCCGCTCTTTATTTTTACAATAAAAAAAATGTCTACTACGATAGGATGCTGTGAGTGCCACAGCGGTGTGTGATGGTTGTCACGCTGGACTTGCGATCCAAACGTTCGATTCGATCGCAGTGGAAACATTTGGGAGAATTTTTTTTTAATCATCCCGGCCTCCGTCCACCCAGACGTATAAATGGGCACACCACGGTGAGTCGATGGGCAGATCACTCACGTGATGGGCACAAAGTAAAACTCTAAAAAATATTAGTTTACCAGGTGCAAGGCCCACAGAGCTGTGTAGCTCTTTTTCAGAAGCGACCTGGCCATCACAAATGATAGCTCAACAAAGTGGCTTATCGCGTGGACATTTATAGCAGCCAAAAATACTCTACGCATGCTTATTCCAAATGTGGAGGGGAAACACCCCAGAGGACCCGGAGAAAAATCCTCACAACCACGGGGAGATAGACACGCAAACTCCAAAAATACAGGCGTCAGGGTTAGGATGGATCCCACGACCTCCTGTACACCGGGCGAGGTAGTTAACATCTCAACACCGTGGAAAACGGTGGGTTACTCCCACCTCTTCCAAGACGTCTGGTGAGCATGGACAACTAGTCCATATAACCTCTGGAGGGGCTCACTATAGCTCTCTCCAGTGGAGGCCCTTCCAGCAGCAGTGGCACGAGTAACAAAATACAGGGCTGCACCTCTACCAATACGATTGATAAATCATTGTGTGTATGCATAATATATTTCGAATATATTCGTACCCTCAAAGCAGGGGCACGTGTACATCGTTGTCAGGGAGGGAAGCACGTGTGTGTGTGTGTGTTGGCCCATATGTGGGGAGCGGTTAGCGCTACGCTGCGCTACTAAACTGGCGACCCGAGTTCAATTCCCGCTCACGGCCAAAATCAGTGACGATTATCTGAACCGGTCCTGGGCTTCCATTAGGTCGACTCAGCCTCAAATGAGTACCTGGTGCGGTTTGTAAACATCGCCACTGGGGAGACAAAGGCAGCCGGGCGTGGTGCTGGCCACCCACCCCCCGTTGTGTGCCGTTCTGGCCTTCATAGGTGCTCGCTAACAGCACTTGCCCCTACAGTCTGTTACAGGCCACACGGGATCTTTGTTTTGTTACCAGTGAGTAACTGTGCTCGTGTTCGTGTGTGAGTTGGGAGATGCGGCCTTTGACAGCCAACACACCTCGGTTACTCTCCCAGCAGCCTGCGTTCACTTGGTGGCCATGCATAACGGCCGGGACAATTGGGTTTGCCGATTCTGGTTTGGGTCCTCGCCGAGAACAGCACAGCCTGAGACGAGTACATCGTGTGATTTATATTTATTTGAATATCGGCACCGAGTGATAAAGGTGCTCACCACACCGCTCCTTAGTGTGCCTTGCTGGCCACAAAAAAGCAAAAAGTGCTCACAGACGGCGCAGTCCCCAGCCATCTGTATAGACTCAACTGAAGATATTTTGTTTAACACGTAGGCTTTCGCGACCAATATTATTCTTAATAAAGGTTTTTGGGTTAGATCGCGTTTATTTATAAATGTGTCGTAACCCTCCACCACCCGACACGGCCAATCAGCAAAAAAAGTGTCACGTTGACAAAAGACAAATAATTCACTACTTCAGCCCACCGGTGTGTTGAAGAGTTAAGAGTTACTCAAACTGTAAATGTGGATTAACTCTTCAACACACCGGTGGGCTGAAGTAGTGAATTATTTGTCTTTTGTCAACGTGACACTTTTTTTGCTGATTGGCCGTGTCGGGTGGTGGAGGGTTACGACACATTTATAAATAAACGCGATCTAACCCAAAAACCTTTATGAATGAAGATATTTTGTCTTTGTGATTCGGTGAGTGTGTGATTGTGTGATTACATGCTGGGGTTTGTGCGTATGTGTGACGGTGCCTGTGGCGCTGGCTGGCTCACAGCACTTGCCCCAACAGTCTAGGGAGGATCTTTGTCTTTGTAGTGCTGGCCGCCTACCCCCTCGTATGTCGTACCAGCCTTCATAGATGGTACTCGCTAACACCACTTGCCCCAGCAGTATGTGAAGGCTATACGGGGGTTCTTTGTCTTTGGTGTGTGTGTGCAAAATTGAGGTTTGTTTTCCTTATATGCGAATGTTGAGTATTGTTTAAGTGATTGTGTATTAGTGTATGAGTTCATAACAGTGGATTGATATCTTTGTGTTGGTGTATGTATTATTATTGTGTGTGTGTGTGAAGTGGGAGTGTAGCGGTTAGCATGCTTCACTACGAATCCGGCTGCTCAAGTTCGATTCTGAACCAGTCCTGGGCCTCCCCTAGATCGACTCAACCTCAAATGAATACCTGGTGTGGGGTGTAAACATCGCCACTGGGGAGACAAAGGTGGTCGGGCGTGGTGTTGGCCACCCACCCCGTCTCGTGTGCCATGCCGGCCTTCATAGGTGCTCGCTAACAGCACTTGCCCCAAGAGTCTGTTAAGGCTATACGGGGGATCTTTGTCTTTGTGTATCAGTGAGTGGTGCTGTAGTGGTTATCGCTTTTCACTGAACCTGATTCCTGGCCATGGCGAATTATATCAGAAACAATTGTGTACCCTCTTGTGGATCAGCTCAGCTATAAATTAATGCGCTGTGCGGTGTTTAAGCATCAGCTCCAGGGAGACAAAGGTGGCCGGGCGTGGTGTTGGCTACTTTAATGAGGACTCGCTAACAGCACCTGTCACAACAGTCTGCTTAGGCTATACCGGTTCATCTTTGCATGTATGTATGTATGTGCAGCATGTTGAACTTCTTTCGCACAGTACTTAGCCAACCGTGCTAATCGGAGGTGCGACTGTGCCCGACTGTCGGAGCATTGCCTTTTGCATTTCTGATTTGGGATCGTGTTCGTCGTGTACACGTTAGTGTGCCTGCATGTGTGTTATTATACTCTTATATCAGCGCACAACTTTATCTATCTGTGATGAACGCTGCACTTTCCGTCGTTTCCATGCAGGGGGCGCTGCAAATCTACGCGCCCCCTGCATGAACGACGGAGGCGCAGGGACTGACGTTCGATTACGATGGAATCGATCTGCAGACGGCGGTCTTCTCGCACGGCGAGCAGCTCTACGTCGCCTGATCTCGATCCCGCAATTACCAAACAGGTGAAAGTCCGCATCGAACCGAACCCCCAAGCAAGGCCATCTACTTAACGACGAGAGAAAATTCACACGAAATGCCCTTTTCAATGAAGTCTTCCAGATGATAAAATGATATAAGCTTTTAATGAAGAAATAAAATTATCTAATTCAAAACAATACAATTCAAAATGTTTCATTTTAAAACTTCAAAACGGAGCATCGGGTGCTTGCGTGAATGCGTCGTTCGAAGTGCAATTGTTTCCGTGACTTTCCTGGCCAAAGGCCGTAAATGTTTGCGTTAGTTCCTATACATTGTATATGTGTGTGTGTATAAATATGGGCGTGCGTATGAAAGAATCAATGAGCGAGCGAGCGATCGTGCGTGCGTGCGCACGCGGTCACCGGGGCGGGTAACGGACCACTCCACTCCGCTCGTGTCGGCATATTTCATTGTTCCGTGCCTGTGATCCGCCCGACGATTCGGTGAGGCTGCGCGATGTTTATCTCGCCGCTACCGCCGCCGTACAAAAGCCGCCCTCTTCAGCGGCGGCGGTGCCAGTGGTCTGCCACGTGTGCGTCGTCGTCGTGCGCTCCCTGTCGAGAGCGACATCGTTTGTGCTCCTCTCGCAACTCCTTGCTTTTGTTCGGCGTTACGTTTTGCTGTTGATTGTGTTTGGTTACTGCTTTTTCTCTCTCTCTCTCTCTTTTTTTCTTGTCTGTGAATATACTTGGGGGGCGTTTTTTTTTCTTCCTTGCGACCGGCCGGAGACTAATATTTGTCAATCTCGCATTTATTCCGCACATTGAATTACATCATCGCTTTTTTAAAAAAAAAATTTGTTTGGACACAATCTCCACGTGCCACCAATTACATTCGACCGTCTCTTGCTGCCTTAAAAACTGCTCCCGAGAAGACGCTCAGCTTTGTACGTCTCACTTTGCGTGTGCGCGCGTGTCCATGCTGTTTGCCCAGTTGCTACTGACGCAGCTGCACAGATCCAGTCTTGGCGCACGTGTTGATTTTGTCTGCCCATGTGTGCGTGCGAGAGTGGAGCGGGTTAACCACCCACCTGTTCCTGTCCGTTCCTCTGTAAGGGGAACCCAGTGGCTTGCCTGTCACCCATCCCCCGTCGCATCATCCCGCGCCTCTTTTCCTCCCACCCAAACCCCGACAATCAAACTTCCAAAAACGCTCACGTCCCCAATTCTCTGCCACCCCATCGTGTGTGTCTCTCTCGTCTCTCCCTCCCCTTCTCACCCTCTCCCTCCCTCCCTCTTGCCTGCCTCAACCCCCTTCCCCTGCTCACTGCGCACTCGATGTTAGCCGCTTGTGCGCCGTACCGAGTTCAGTACGTTTCAGCCTGCGTGCTGTGACCATAGTCTCTCTATAGTCCTGTGTCCACAGAGTGTTCGCTCTGCGTCATCCTGAGTGTCGAGTCTTTGTGTTGCCGAGAGCATTGTCTCAATGATTCTGAGTGCTTCGTCATATTTTCATTCGCGTTAGTTTTTTTTCCTTCCTCTTGAGTGTTCTGTAAAAAAAAAATCCTTTTGTCCAGTCATGAGTACCCCAGTTCGTAGCATTTAGCCCGGGTGACCTTGAGAGCGTTTCGGTCCACGTTGAACCCGGAGTTTATTTTAGACCTCGTCGCTATTAAGTAGGTCGCGAAAGTTGAGGGGTTTTTTTGTTACTGTGCCAAGCATTTAGTCGACGTCACGTCGCCGGTTCATCCGAACGTGGGGGGAGGGCTCCAGTCTGCGAGGCCGACGTGAGGAGAGAGCGCCAGAATGACTTGCTTCAAGCTCGACTTCCTGCCCGAGATGATGGTGGAGCACTGCTCTCTAAACCCCTCGTGAGTACCAAGGTCACCCGCCCAACACCGTCACACTTTCCCCCACTGTTGTGTTCCTCTCTCACCTTGACGCCGTTGAGCGCGTGAAATGATAAGCCACTTTCGTTGAGCTATCATTTGTGGCTGGGTCGCTTCGGAAAAAAGAAGCTAATGGCTCGGTGGGCTCTGCCTGGTCAAATAAAAGCAATTGCTTAGTTTTAGCGAATTTTTGGGGGGTGATTTGCTTACCTTTGCACTCCGATGGTGTGTTTTTTTTCGTATTGTTTGTTGCTGTAACGGTCTGACCCGCCCCTACTGGACATCTGCGAAAAGAAATAACTTCACAGCTCGTCAGATTCCTCCAGTATAAATACATATTCTAATTCTGAAATAACCCTTCGAGCTGCCCCCGTTCAAAATGTCACGTGATGACAGACCCACCCGAGTGTTTTTCTCTCGTCGGGGACCACCCGTTCGTTGAGTTACGCAACTTGACGTCGATATAATGGACTCGGTTTGTAATCTCCGTGTAATAGGGCCCTCGCAGGGCATGTGGGTTTACGCCCGTTGTGCTCTGTCGGGCTCAGATTGGTCATGGTCTTCGACTAAGAAACACGAATTGACTGTAACTTCAGTCTGAACACGCTCGCATTGGTTGTGCCATAAATCTAATGGAGGCTTATCGAAGGCGACGGAGATCTTTTGGACAGTGATCGATTGTTAACTCAATCTAATGGATGGACACGGGTTGGCAGTTATCGTGATCTAATCAACTCAAAATGGTTGTGAGGGTCCTTCCGTCTGGCCCCAAGTCACCGAGCCGTGAGGTTTCAGACAGGACCAGACGTGCGCTATTATGGCTGTTGTAGGATCATCATTGCAAGCACTGTTTTAGTAGAAACACATTTAACGCCATTAAAAAAAAAAAATAACACTAGTTACAGCAGGTGGAGGAAATAGGCTAATTTTTTCGTTGTTAAAATGGCAAAAAGGTGGGGCCCTGCAAATGTTTAATCACGCCACTGCTGGCTGAAGGGGCCTGCATGAGAGTTAGCTCTGGAGAGCCCCTCTCGAGGGTGGAATCGTTCGCCTACTCGTTCAGACGACTTGGATGAGCTTGGAGTTCTCGAACTTTGCTCGACCTTGCGGATCGACTCTGGCTGTGGTGTACCCAATTTGTACTGCTCGGTGCAACAGGGCTTGGGTGATTTAAGAAACTTTTTCCATCCTTTTGAACTGCCACTCCGGGAGGTCAAACCGAACTGACGACCACTGGATTGAAAGCCCGGTGTGCTCGCCATCCACATCACAGTAGCATAGTGTTTTTTATTATTATTATTTGTTTTCATTAAACTATGAGAAATTATAAACTTTTTACCAACAACAAAAGGCCACACCTGCTTACACTAGTTAATGTAGTCGAGTATTCATGTTACACTTTGGAGTAGATGGCACGTGTTGGTAGCTCCGCATACTGTATGGTTCTCCCAAATGTGTTTTCGGTTTGTACCGCCTGCTGCTCGGCGCGATGTCCCGAATTTGAAGAAGCACGTGGAGTAAAACGTCGGACAATGCGCGGCACAACCCGAAAACACGTCTGAGAGAAGTTTTCCACAAATTCGGTGACTCCGGTTCTCATTACTCCGTGGTAATGTCTGCGGAGGTCTGCTGAGTGCGGGCATTATCCAAAGGGTGAAATTTGCTTCACAAGTAGGCATTTAAAATCCTCCAATGACATCATTTGATGGAGTAGGCCAGGTTTGAGACTGGCAAGACCGAGAAGTAAAATCTGATAATGATGCTTAACTACATTATGAAATAAATAAGTTCAGATCTCGTGTGTAGTGTTAGATTCTCTCCTGTGTTTTATAACTTTACTGCTTATTATTACAAACTTTAAAACGGTCAAATGGGATCATCCACAGCTATTCCTTCTCATTTAATTTTAATTTGCTTTAAGGAAATGCAATGTATTCTACAGACCTGTAGGCCTTCCAAAGTGTTGCTATCCAATGCAATTTGTCTAAACAAGGCAACCTTATGCCAGTTTTGATTTCGTTTCGTGTCGTCAGCAGAGTGTGGCCTTAAAAACAAATACCACGAGGTATACCAGTAGTTATGGGCGGAGCCACAGGGGGGGCTGGGCTTAGCCCCCCCTGAAATTTTGGGAAAGTCGGTAATCGGGATAACCGGATATCCGGCTGCTGCAAAATGCTGCAGGCTGCCACCTTGTGCTGCCCTGCAGGCTGCCACCTTGTGCTGCCCTGCAGGCTGCCACCTCGTGCTGCCCTGCAGGCTGCTTGAACTTATTATTTTACAGTCAATGTTGCTGTCTCTAGCTTCCGTTTCTTCTCTGATCCAGGGGGGTTCCTCTTTCTGTTTTTTTCAGCGTAATTCTTTGCTTGTTCCTCTAGATACACTTTTCAACGAATGGTTACAATGTAATTATATTGTAGTATGACATGATTTCCATATTCTAATGTTTTTTTTATCAAAAGTATAATTTTACCTCAGACAAACTGAATTTATGGGAGCCCAAATTTAATTGAAAAGCATAACATGGGAACCTTTAAAAGCGAACGTTAAATCCTCTTATTTTAACCACATTGGAAATGTTATACTTAACAGAGTTGCATGAGTGATGAGTGCACCAGTTTGGTTTCAGCTCACCAGATATTTCAGTTTTGGTTCTAAATTTGAATGGAAAGAGGAACCTAGTTCCAACGACCGCTATGTGTGCCAAGTGCAGTACGATCAAAATTTAGTATTTTACTTGAACTGTGTGACTTGTAAAGTAGTTTATTTTAAATTAAAAGTTTCTTTTTCTCGTGGGCACTCAAATTAATATTTAATGTCCTGAAAAAGCATTGCAGCATGCAAAGTAATTATGTCACATGGTTAATTTACAGAGATAGGGGTTCAGAATATGTCTGACATGCCTTGGTGTAGCATATTGGCCTACATTGGCACTTGCCTGGATGAACTATATTGATAAAATAGGGATATTTGTGGACCGTATTTGCGTGTGAACGTGTGCGTGCATGTGTACATTTGTGAGAGTAACTGCATGTGCGAATCCACGTCTGCATGAACGTGTAACTGTGTCCTTACGTGAATGTGTGCGTGAAAGCGGTGCCGGACGGGCAACTCTGTCGTGGACAGCGCTGTGGGGGGAGATCCAATTTTGATTGGCTCCTCCCCTCATGGCATATGTATCCACCACAGGGGCTAAACGGGGGCTCTGGACGGGTGCGAGGGGCTGGTAACCCCTCCACCTTCAATTAATTACCACGAAACTACGAATTGCCGATGACTGGTACCAGCGGTGTCAAGATCGGCCTCTGTGGAGGAGGCTCGTGAAGGATGCTACTGGGCAGTTGGAGGCAGTCGCCCTCCAACAACAACGGAGGGCGGAGGAGCGACGCTCACAACAGCGAGCGGAGCGCCGGGTGGCTAAAGCACAGCAGGTTGGCACAGTAGGGGGCACAGGTGGTGCATCAGCCAGTCATCTCAGTCAGTCGACCCGTGGCACCTGGGTCTGCCCCGTGACCTCCTGCCAGCGGGCGTTCGACACTTCACGTGGCCTCAGGGTGCACATAGCCTGGCACAAGCGTCGTGGTGACGTCACCGCCACTTAGTGGCGAATGGCGGTTGTTGTTGTTGTTGTTGTATGTGCTTGTATAAATGTGTCGTGTGCGTGTGTTTTTTCACTGATACTTGATAGTGCAGACATCCGCTGTATAATCAGCTGAACGCTGCATTCGTAAAGCGCTGTTGACATTTCATACAATAAAACGACACACCGCTATGCTCCCGTGAACATTTTGAAAAGAAATTGTTGTTTTTCACGCATGTAAGCATTCTGCATTCGACTTGCGTGAACAAAATGTTTTAACTGTGACGTGACCGGGGTGATTCTGGGGGCTAATACCGATGTCAGACAAAGCACTTTGCCACCTCTGCCCACAGCCTTGGGTTCTACTCCCGTGCCTGGGTGTCTCTGAAAAGGCTCGCGTCTATGACGGGGCAGTGAGCCAGCACACCTGAGATCCCGGGGTTTTTGAGGCCTTGGCTGTGCTGGCTCAGTGCCCCCCGTTGTGGACATCGTGTGGCCGCTTGAGTCGCCCAGTCAAAGCCATGAGACACAGGGCCGCTTGACAATAAACCACATTCTGTGGTCATGCGCGTCACTCCTCACGGAAATTCGTGTCCCACACCACCAGAGTTACGTCGCCTTCTTGGTTTGCCAACCTCTGGATGCCCTCTCCAGGGCCTGTATCGATATCCTGCTCTCCTCCATCCAGGTCACATGCCCTCCTGTACAGCTTCGCCTTCTTTAGCTTTTTTACTCTTTCTTGCCTAATTGTACTCCTGTTACACACCATATCCTGATAAATACCCAGCATTCTACAAATATTCAAACACTAGAAGCTGTCGTTCTTCTTGTTATCATCGTGTAGCTCTGACCCAGACACAACCAGTGATATTATTCTGCCACACACAGCCTTAACAGTAAAGCTGGCCTCTCTTCTCTTCCAAATGTATTTAGGCAGGTCCATCAAAACCTCAGCCTGCTAAAACAATACATTATGAGGACTGAACTCCTCAGACGGCGACGCTGTGGCCTGACTCAGCCAAGAAACTCGTTCACGAGAAGAAGAGTGCAATACAGTAGAACTCCTCTTAACAACGAGCCCTGCTAACAACGAATCGCTTAACGACGGGCCTCCATAGAGCCCCAATGTGTAGTGTATAGTGTTGTAATGTATAGTGTAGTGTGTATAGTAGTGTAGAGTAGAACTCCTCTTAACAACGAGCCCTGCTAACGACGAATCGCTTAACGACGGGCCTCCATAGAGCCCCAATGTGTAGTGTATAGTGTAGTGTATAGTGTTGTAATGTATAGTGTAGTGTGTATAGTAGTGTAGAGTAGAACTCCTCTTAACAACGAGCCCTGCTAACGACGAATCGCTTAACGACGGGCCTCCATAGAGCCCCAATGTGTAGTGTATAGTGTAGTG